GCGCTGTTTAATGTGAAGTGACAGATTGCTGTAGCACCTCAGTTTAACAGACGCAGCAGCGCGAGGTGCACGTGAGCTGATCATCTCCTCCACATTAATACCAGCTTCAGCACAAAATAAACATGACTAAACATCCGAAGGCAAGTTAAAATAAAGAGTACAGCTTTACAATCCGTATCCTGTCTCATGTAATCACTCAATCAGTGTTTCAGCCGCGCAAAGACGTCAATATAATGGCTTGTAAACAATGTCACGTAACGTCATATTTACCTCAGATAAACATATTCGGTGACCATAAACTCATTAGCCAGCTAGAAAAATAAACTGTAGAGAGGGGCATTTTGCTAAATATATGCACCATATAACATATTCATTATAAATTTTACTGTTTTTCAATGTTTAATTTTCATAAAAGTTTTTATGACAGCCACCATTATGTTTATATAAAATTGTTTATATAAAAAAAAATTACTATATATATATATATATATAGAGAGAGAAATATTATTATGTAATTGTGTAATTTTAACAAATCAGTCAATTTTAACCTTCAATATTATAGCAATGTAGTACCAACTGACGCTCAATTAATGAAAAGAAATTAAGAGCCACAGACTTGTTTTTTAAACTCTATTTCAGGCACATTAAACAACCCTCTACATTGCGAGTAAATCACTCGCATATGCGACTAAATCTTCACTCTGGGTGACTAAATGATGTCTATCGTTAGCCATTGGCTAATATATTCTTAGATTTTACTCGCCAGTGTGTGAGTTGGAGGCCAAGTATAAGTATAGCACAGATATATTTTCACTCGCTGAACAATGACTGAGCGCTTGAGAGTTGTACTCCATCAAGCGATTCTGTGCTATTTATCTCAATGGATGCGCAGCGTACCTGTATTTGACGTACTGTAAACTCTAGTGTGAAGGCTACCGACCCTGTTTGGAAGCCAGCGTTCACTCGAATGTGATTAATATTCATGAACCCAGCAGCTCATCGATCCTTAGTGTGATGTATATTGTTATTAGTAGTAGTATTATCTGTTAATAATTAGTACCATTATTATATTACTATTATCTATTTTTTTTCAGAAACCCTGAATGACCAACAATACCTTAAGCATCACCACCAGTCCTAAGTTCAGTTAAAATGACAAATATGCATTCACACATGGTTACCAAGTTTTAGTTCTAATCACTAAATAGTACTTAATTATCATAATATAATATAATGCTTGATTGACTGATTAAGAAACTAAGATTTAAGAAGCTGTGCCATTTTACAAAGATAAGCTGATTGGGGCTATATAGTTTAAAATTTTTATTTCAGCTTTAGTTTGAGTACCAGTTTTTTTTTTTTTTTTTTAATGGCTTTTTTGTCCAAAGCATAGCGTAAGTATTCATGCATATATATCTACATCGGTTCCCTGTTTGCTTTAGTAAAACTGGTTTTATAATGTCCCTCTAAGGCATCAATCAGTCACACTATGCAAAACTTTGTCTTCATATCTGGAACTGCTGGAAGCGACCTATTTTAATTATACGAGAGCTGTTTAATTCCACAGACGCTGATCTGAGTGTGTTTGCTATATGAAGTCTGTAGGGTTTGTGTATTCATGCATGTGAGACCGCTAGTTTAAAATTATGATGTTTACCTAATTTTAACAGGTAAGATAAAAAAAACTTATTTTAAGATTAAAAATCTCCTTTCCAAGAAGACTTTTTAGGTGTGCACTAGCATATATATGATCACAAAGACACGGACTAAAAAAAGTGTTATTTTGTATCATTCAGATACTGTTATGGTTTTTATTAATATTTTAAATTAATTTTATTTTTATATGTTTATTTTTAAATTTAGTTACATTTTTAGAATATTTGTTTTTGTAATTTTATGGTACTTTTTTATCTGTACAGTTTCTATAGCGTTTCAATTTCATTTTCAATTATTTTAATACATCAAGTTAAAGTAAATAAAAACAAGATGTTCCCTTGACATTTAGCTAAAATAAAAATAAGCTTTTTATGCTTTATTTTATTTAAGTTGATGTTTATTTTATTTCAAGTTACCTGGGTTATTATAGTTAACTAAACCTTAAGCTAAAATTTAAAACAATTACATGTTTAAAATATTTTCATTATGTGAAATAAAATAATTATATAAAATAAACTTTTTATTTCAGCTAGTTCTAAAGGCAGTATTTTTCATATTAATTTAATTAGACTTACCAATACCAGTATAACTGAAATAAAAAGTCAAGAAAAACTATATTATAAAGACATAAAAAAGAAACTACTAAAAATGATTACAGTAAAATGAAAACAGAAAATATACACATAAAAACTGAGTAAGGAAATTAAAGACAACTATATATAAAAGTAGTATTTCAGTGATACTAAAATAACACTGCAAGGACCAACTTTTCTTTCTTTCTTTTTTTTTTAAATATAGTTTTAGTTAACTATAATAGTCCTGGACTAAACTTCAGTTTTTTATTTCATAAGGTATTCATAGGGTTCATAGAGTGGTTAGTCACCTTTGATTTAATATTAAGTTTTAAGTGTGGTTATGCTTTGATCATCTATACCTCCCGTCTATCAAACCTCACCTTTTTCTCTGCTCTCTGCCATTGCAGTATCAAGTCGGGCAGCTTTTCTCTGTGGCTGAGGCCAGTAAAAATGAGACGGGTGGTGGAGAGGGCATTGAAGTGCTAAAGAACGAACCATATGAGAAGGAGGGCGAGAAGGGGCAATACACACACAAAATCTACCACTTAAAGAGGTAAAGAAGAGTCAACGGCTTAGTTTTATTCTGTACGCCAAGATGAGTTCACCAAACTTTAAAAGTATTGTCAAGTTAGTAATTTTCTGTAATTGCTGAAATGTTTCTTACTTTATGATGCTAACACCACCCACGGTTTAATATTGTCACATTTGACACATCTCAAGTTTTTTGCAGCACATTATCAGATGGCATTCAACTTAATGCGAAGCTGTAAATAATTACTCCGGCTTTGCTTCATTGCTCTTGTGTTTTGCGTTCATCTAGTAAAGTGCCGGGCTTTGTGAGGATGATTGCACCAGAGGGGGCGTTAGTTTTCCACGAAAAGGCCTGGAATGCTTATCCATACTGTCGCACGAGTGAGTGGAAACCTTTTCATCTGTTATACCACACAATCCATCACTATCATATTTTTATTGCATACAACAATATGTAATGAGTTACATATTGGCACAGATGTCATGCGTATACAGTGTTTTTTGATTGTTTCACGAAGTTCTCACATGTGCTGTTTTGTAAAGAATTAGGCCGGAAACATACTCCACAAGTACGCAAACGCAGACATGAATACTCAAACAAAGCATACCGAGCTAAACTGTGTTGTTTTATTGGTAGCTTGCCATAAACATGTTTTTTTTAACCAACATTAAGTTAGATAAATGACTGAAAGAGACCCGTAGAGTCTGATAGACTAAGAACGCAGTGCGTACTTGAATTGCGTTATGAATTGACCTCTGACATATTTCGTAGCTATAACGGTTTGCATTCATGTACTCAGAGTATGTTTCGGGCCTCATTTGTATTGGTCTGTTTGGACAGTGGAAATATGAATGGTTTATTATTTCACCTGATTATTTTTCTTCTTTTATTTTTGCATGTTGCTCCATTCTCCTCAGTTGTGACTGTAAGTACGAAAACTAGCTGTTTTTATGACTGTACACTAAACTGTAGTGCATGGTCATTTACTAAAAGTTGTTTTTAATCGAGTCAAACATTTAATTGATTCTAAGGGTATGAATTGACACAGTGACCTTAAAAAGTATTTTGATGCAATTGTAAGTGTGTGAATGAATGTCTGTATCTGCATGTCTTTATTGTTTAGTTTCAAACTTGTTTTTGCCAAAAAGTTTGATTGTAAAGTGCACGTGTTGTCTTTCTTTTTGATAAATTATTATTATGTCATCGTATGCGATAACATTCATTCAAGTGTGGCTTAAAGAGCCCAAAAAAAAAATGTGCTAAAAATGTATTCACCCTCAGGCCATCCAAGATGCAGATGAGCTTGTTTGTGCATCGGAACAGATTTGGAGAAATGTATCATTACATCACTTGCTCACCAGTGGATCCTCTGCAGTGAATGGGTGCCGTCAGAATGAGAGTCCAAACAGCTGATAAAAACATCACAATAATCCACAAGTAATCCACACCACTCCAGTCCATCAAATAATGTCTTGTGAAGTTAAAATCTGCATGTTTGTAAGAAACAAATCCATCAGGACTTTTTTAACTTCAAACCAATGGTTCTGGCTGAAATATGAGTCTATAATCCATAAGAACATTTCCTCCAGTGAAAAAAGTTGTCTGAATCAGGAGAGAAATATGCACAGTTCAAGCACCATTTACAAGTGAAAACAGTCTAAAACAGCTCTAAACAAATATGTGGTTGGATTTTGTGATGTGAGAGAACAACAGGAGATGGACTTTTTCACTGGAGGAAGCGTTATGGACTCGTTTTTTTTTTTCTGGATTATTTTGACCAGAAGTAATAGTTTGAAGGTAAAACATCTTGATGGATTTGTTTCTTCAGCTTTTCAATTCACAAGACATTAACAGATGGACTGGAGTGGTGTGGATTATTGTTTTTATCAGCTGTTTGGACTCTCATTCTGAAGGCGCCCATTCACTGCAGAGGATCCATTGGTGAGCAAGTGATGTAATGCTACATTTCTCCAAATCTGTTCCCGTGAAGAAACAAACTCGTCTACATCTTGGATGTCTTGAGGGTGAGTAAATTTTCAGCAAGTTTTCATTTTTGGCTGAACTATTCCTTCAAGTGCCTGAATATGTTCTGGGACCACTGTATGTGTATTTATTTTAGTTCAGCACACCAATCATAACGCCAGTTTACGAAGAAATTGGAGTACAGCCATTTTACTTCCTGTTTTCTAGAAACTTGTTCCCTCCAGCATTAAAGCCAGTTTAAAAATATGGAGTTTGAATCGCTCTAAAGTTGCTGGACTTCAGAATATTTGCATTGCATGCACTGTTAAACCACAGTTTAAAGTGAATTCTTGCTGCTGTTTGTGATAAAACCGCATTATATCAATGTAAGCATCACTGTATCTTCTCCTCAGAACGAATACATGAAAGATGACTTCATGATTAAAATTGAAACGTGGCACAAACCTGACACGGGCTCTTTAGAGAATGTGAGTGAGACATTTCTTTGTTATTTGATGTTTTGAATGCATCGGTAATCTCATGCTCGGGCTGATTTTTTTTTTTTGTTTGTGCCCAATACCAGGTAAATGATCTGGATCCCACCACATGGAAGACAGTGGAGGTCGTGCATATCGATATAGCCGATCGGTCTCAGGTCGAACCTGGAGTGAGTTCACTTTACATCAGTCTAGAAATGCTCTGATCTTATTTGCACACATTCTTTGTGCCTTTTAGTAGCAATACCCACTTTGAATATAAAGCTCATAGTCCATCCCTGCTGGTCATCCTGTGGTCAGCTGGCACTCAAAACTGGGCTATTGATATCCAACCAGTTGCAACTAATTTGCATAGCCCCACCCTCAGCTGCAAATGTTTTAAGCTGTTTTTGCATTAGAGGTTATGGTTTAGGCTAATGGCATGTGATGTTCCTCATTTGTAAGGCCCTTTTGGATAAAATCATCTGCAAAATGAGTAAATGAGTCCATTGGAATTATTTGAGGCTCTTTAATGTTCAACCTTTGTGCTTCTGTTAATCGCTCATGCATAAACGCTTATCGGCTGATGCAGATAATCTTAAACTTGCAAAATCTGATTTATCCACTTAGTTTAATATTGTGTTTTATGTAATATTCTCCGCACAAAAAGTTTGAGGTCAGTATGATTTTTGTTGTTTTTGAAAGAGATTAAGTATGCATTGTCAATTGAAGTGACAGTAAAGACATTTATGGTACAGTAGATTTCTATTTCAAATAAATGCTGTTCTTTTGAGCTTTTTGTCAAATAATGCTGGAAAATAAAATGTATCACAGTTTCGAAAAAAATGAAGCAGCACAACTGTTTTCAACACTGATAATAATCAGAAATGTTTCTTGAGCAGCAAGTCATCATATTAGAATGATTTCTGAAGGATCATGTGACACTGAAGACTGGAGTAATGATGCTGAAAATTCAGCTTTCATCACAGGAATAAATTACATTTTACTATATATTCAGATAGGAAGCAGTTATTTTAAATAGTAGTAATGTTTCACAATTTTACAGTTTTTACTCATTTTCAAAAAAATGCAGCCTTGGTGAGCAAAAGAATCTCAAAAACATAAAAAATCTTGCTGACCCCAAACATTTGAACAGAAATGCTTTTACTTGTAGCAAGACAGTACGGCACTATTTAGACATATTATCATGTCATAAAATTGTCTTGATAAAACAAACCGCTTTGTTGTGTACTGTTTGTTTGCTTGTAAGCTTTAGCGTATCCAAATAATTACAGTATTGATTAGGTTCTTACAAACAAATCACACAATGTCACAAATTCCTCCTCCTGTAGCACAAAAATTTAGAAGCAATATTAGCCTAAAAACATGCACATTAAAAATCCACCAGAAACAGCACTTTTAGCACACTGTTTCCAGTGTGCAGTGATTTGGGACATGCTAATCCTTATCCCGCATGCTGTTTAGGCTGGCTAGTGTGTGACTTGTGATTCAGCTTTTAGCTGGCGTGTTATGTAAGACTGGATTAGGGTGACGTGATTTTAGAGCGCGTGGACCATTGCCCTTCTAACCTGCATTACTCGAGGTTCACTAGTTTATCAAGAAGGCTTCTTCTTATCTCTAATCTATCTACTACGGGGAGACCTGATCCTGCTGTAAGCGGCTAAATTTACTGATCAATCTGGTCTGTTTGAAGCTGTAGACATCGCTGCTAAAATCTCAAGCTTCAAGATCAAAGAAACTAGCTGCCGGTGCCGTGTACTAGCAGACACGTACACTGCGTCAAACATCAGCTGCTTTGAATAAATCCAAATGTGTTTCCATGTGACCTCATTCTGGCACGGTGCCGAATGCATAAATACAGCTGCGTCCGTTTGACTGGAGTCCAGTGTCGTTGTGTGCTGACTAGCAGGAGTGTGTTGGTTATCTTCTCTTCATCTCCTGCTGACCCGCTCACTGTGGAGGGGTGCTGAAGTGACTGCTCTTCTCAGGCCTCAGTGCTTTTATGCTTCATATCTTTAATTAGTTAAGTGGATCAGTCCTGGTTCAGGTTAATCCTTATTCCCATATGTTCACGGTAGTCAGTGCCGAGGTTTGAGAGATTAAAAGGTAGCGTGCGAGTGTCTGCACTAGTGTGAGGTGGAAAAAAGATGGAAATGGTGGGAATTCCCAAATCGAGCAACTCTCTGAGTGATCATGATGATTTATTATATATAAAAACTTACATTCAAAATCTTACTGACCCCATTTTTATTTTATTTTTAACCTAACTACAAATGTAGCGACTCTTGAGGGATCATTTTACATGCACACTACTGGTCAAAAGTTTGGAATAATTGCATTAACATTTTATGTTTTTGAAAGAAGTCACTTCTCCTACCCAAGGCTGTGTTTATTTGAATAATAAAAATACAGTAAAAACAGTAATATTGTGAAATATTATTACTATATAAATACAATTTTCTATTTGAATATATTTAAAAAATCATTTATTTCTGTGATGGCAAAGCTGAATAGTGTATGGTGATTTTGTCATATGTAAAGGGTTAAAATGAAAAAGAATGCATCTATGGTATGGTGATGTCATGAGTATGTTAATTAATGCATGGCATCATCTAGCGACATTTAAGCAACTGTTTAAGCAGGCTTTAGCTACTTTCCATTAAAAGTAGTTGACAACAGCGATAACATGAAATCAAAATTGACTGTTTTTGCTTTTTTGTTCCTGATAGTTGGTAATACACTTTAAAAAATTTTGTTTTTCATTGATTCATAGTTTATACTCTGAAATTACATCTATGCTGACTAAACCAAGGCAGTGTGGAGAAATATTAACCATAAAGGAAATAAAAGTGACCCAATTTGTCGTTCTCTCAGGACTATAAACAGGAAGAGGACCCAGCAATCTTTCACTCAAAGAAAACTGGCCGGGGACCTTTAGGACCAGACTGGAAGGTGAGTGGCTCTATTTAATTAATTTATCAGAGATTTGTACTCCCAATTAATTCAGTTCTGTATAAAGACAATGTGTGGTTTCTCCCCGAACAGAAAGAGCTCTTGGCTAAGACAGACACCCCTCGTATGTGTGCATACAAACTAGTCACCGTCAAGTTCAAGTGGTGGGGCCTTCAAACCAAAATAGAAAACTTCATCCACAAGGTAAGAAACAATGCCCATTCAAGCTAGCACTTTAACGTTTATTCATGCTCATGTTTTTCTAAACGCATATAGGGCACAAAAAGATATATTTAGCAGACCAAAGTAGAGATGCACCAATTGCAATTTTCTGATTCTGATTTCCGATTTTTTGTTTTTTTTTGTAAGTGTGACCTGCCAATATTTTTGCTGATTCCAATTTTCCTTCTAAGAACTATAATTGACAGCATATACATACAAAAATCTTTTTTTTTTTTCAATGCAAAATTTTATTTTCATAATAAAAGAAATGAATAAACATTACAATTTCCCTCAAACTGCACTTTTACAGGATTTTTTCCCTCACTTAAACAACTCTCAACATGAAGTGCTCTGTGACTGGAAAGAGGTGAAAATGAGTTGCTGTATATAACAAAACAGATGTCAATTTTTCCTAGCTTCATTAAATGTATTTGTCATCTTTCATATCACATTCTTACGTTGTATCAAATAATTCAGTTAGAATAATAAGACACTGTAGAGTTGTTAACATTCAAATGAAATCAGTGTTAACAAACTCCATCTTTCTACTGCAGAGGAAACACAGAAGCAGCATCTGAAGTGGCATTAGATGTATTTACACAGACTGTTTAATGAAGCTGAAAGGTGCCATAAATGCATTTACACCACAAAATTGCAAATGCATAAATAATGTTATAAGATTGTTTTAAATATTTTTTTGAACATACAAATAAGAAATGTTGGAGAAAATGCAATGATACTTTTAAATATGAAACCAAACCACCAGTAGATGGCAGCAAATGAAGTTTTAATGATTGAGTCATTCAGTCATTCATCCGATTCTTTCAAATGACTGATTCATTCAGAAAAAGGCATGTTGATTCACTGTTGTTATGAATGGGTCACTGAATCATTGACTCACTCGATTCGTTAAAAAATGTGGATTCATTCAGTAACAAAACACCGCTGGGTTGCTCTGAGACACACAACAGTTCTGCTGTGGCTTTGATTGGAAATATTTTTAGGGCTCGCAAAAATGTCAAAATCCCTGGTAGCCCTTTGGGCAGGCACTCTTCAAATTTTAGTAGCCAGAGATGAATTTAACTAGCCAGAATATAAAAAAAATACCTTTTTTTTTCTCTCTTACAGATAACTGGATAGGAGTTGAAACATCAATCAAAAACATTTTTAAAACACAAATATCAGCAAATATCAAAGAAGGAATTTTATTTCACTATTTACAGGGTATCTGCAAGATTTTTAAAATCAAATTTAAGGCTTTTTATGACCTTTTTTAAGACCTACACAAATAAAATTAATGCCATATGAGCAGGGTAGGGCAATGTGTATGGTGTCATATTAAACTAAAATTACATGATTCACAAAACTAAAAATCTTATAAAATGATAAACATCACATTTGAAGCGCGTTGAAGACCATCTCTCAGAATGCGCGAGTGCTTTATGGGTTAAAATAGCCCCGCTTGCAGAGCAAACTCAACGTGGATATTATGGATGTGAGGCCATTTGTGCATTTTGAGAGAGTGAGAAAAGATGCGGTACCACTCAGTCATAAGAGCCTCCATTAAAAAACATTTTGAACAGCAGTGTATATATATATATATATATATATATATATATATATATACATACAAGTGAACTTGACTGTGCTAGTCATGAAAATATAACTCTGTGGACACATTCTTTCCATAACAACGCACCGAAACATGGCATATTCTTTTAGAGTGTCGTGTTCTCTTTATAATTTTATGTAGCCTATATGACAGATTTGTTCTGCACATGTTGCCCTTAATGGTACCCTCCTTTTCAGAGGGATTCAAGCTATTTAAAACCATCATGGCTGGGTATGTTCCGTGGGTGGTGTATCACGTTTTTTCGGTTTGGTTTGAATATCGTTACACCTCTATGGACCCTTTTCACAAGACTGTGATGACGCGTTTACATTTACATTACATTTACATTTAGTCATTTAGCAGACGCTTTTATCCAAAGCGACTTACAATTGGGTATGGTGTCATATTAAACTAAAATTACATGATTCACAAAACTAAAAATCTTATAAAATGATAAACATCACATTTGAAGCGCGTTGAAGACCATCTCTCAGAATGCGCGAGTGCTTTATGGGTTAAAATAGCCCCGCTTGCAGAGCAAACTCAACGTGGATATTATGGATGTGAGGCCATTTGTGCATTTTGAGAGTGTGAGAAAAGATGCGGTACCACTCAGTCCCAGTCATTCACACTGTTTGTGAAATTCCGTCGCACAGAAAATTTTAAAATGTCTAATCTGGATTCAACCTACATGCTACAGTGCATAAATGTTTGTGAGAATTTCCTGCTTTATAATTGCGAAACCTGCGGGAATGTGTAGAATTACGCACAGTGCCTGCTATCCTGCAGCGAAACACGGCAACTATACTCTAAAAATACACAGCGTTTAATTATAATAGTGTTCTCATTATAATGTTATGTATATGACAGTCTCAGTCATTATTATTAATATTCTGCATTGTTGTTTGTGCTGCTCGTGCTGCATGCTGTAGTAGGCCTACAATGAAGGACTTTACTGCAGTGTAACTAGACCAAATGCATCTTAAATGGCGCCATCCTCACCTTCTTGTCTTCATGTCCAAATAGAGCGGCCTGAATACGCTGCAGGGCAGAACAAAGCCATGTCAGTGATTAGGAAACTAGAAGAAATTACTAATTCAAATAATAATAATTGATGTTAATCCCATGTTAATAATTTGACATGGTTTTCTATCTTTTAGATGCCATGGACTCCCAAATATAATTATCTTCATGTAAGGGACCCCATCCTAAAATTTTAAAGATAACTATATATTCATAAATACCCAATGTATAGTGTGAAAACTGTATATATATATATATGTATATATACACACACTAGGGGTGCACCGATTTATCGGCTACCGATCACTATCGGCCGATAATCGCTTTGGGATGATTGATCAGCGGTCTCTGAAAAGGCCGATCTAAAAAAAAAACGATGTCAATCTGATGACGCGTCTGCCATCAGAGGTTTGACACGACATGCAGCGGCACCGTCTCAGTCTCTGTCTGGCGCGGGTGAAATAATTATAATGGCTATTCAAGTTTACCCAACTATGACGACTTCCGCGGCTGAGAAACCCGGAAATGTGAAAAAGGTCCATTGCTTACCTATATCATATATTATAAATATTAGGGGTGCTCCGATTTATCAACTACCGATCACTATCGGCCGATAATCGCTTTGGGATGATTGATCAGCGGTCTCTGAAAAGGCCGATCTCAAAAAAAAACGTGCATCATCACTAAAGTTTCTAAATTGCATTACTTTTTAATACTTCCCAGTGTTTAAACAATTCAGCGCCCGCGCGCTCTCCTGGAGACCGTGCGCTCATGCCCACTCGCAGCGCACTCACATAACGCCAGGTTCACATTACTCCGTTTGCAGTGCGTATGCTGTGCTTATTTTTCCGCGCTCATGGTAACGGATTCAAGCTTTCCCACTGCACACGGTTGCGGTCCGGCAGTGCGTTCAGGAGCGGTGCGTCCGCAGCAGTGCAGAGATCGTTTCCGCACCATGTCTATTTTTGCTTCACTGCAAGCGCTGAATTAAAGTAACAGCGCATTGTTTGCAGTAAGTATGAAAACCAAAATGTAGTAATTACACCATAAATGCATATAATTAAAGTCTACTGTGTTTCACAGTCAACACATATGGCTTGT